ACAACACAGACGCATCACAAAAATAAAATAAGATCTATAGGTATCCTAATATAAACATATGTAGTACTCAAAGATTGTTTAATTCTTATCACATATTTACAGAAAACATAGATAGTCTATTCACAAAGATGATAGCAATTATTTTATAAAAATTTAAAATATATCATTAGATTAAAATGATGAAATCGTCCTAAAGTGTTTGAAGCAGCGTGTAACTAATTAATTAAATATACCTTATTTACAATACAATTTTACTAATATAGAATGCAACAGCCTCGCTTATTATATTATTTAAATTATTAAAAGAGTTCCAGTTAACCTTAACCGAAGCTTTTAAATTTAAACCGTTTTTATTTAAGATATGTAAGTTGCATAAAGGCAAATTGATTTGACATGTAAATATCTACATATTCAAAGCAAATTTTGTAATTGAAATCACTGGAAGGGCAAGAGAATGTATTTAATAAACTTTCTATTTATGTCTTAAACTCATATAATTAGCATTGAGCTAACGTAGAGATAAATGCAATTATAATTATTAATTAATTAATACTTGCATAACGCAATTAGCTACAGTTTTCCTAATTGAAAATTCCGTTTCCACTTTAAAATTAAATTAAATAAAACTCACCGAAAAATTTAAAATGTAACTTCATGTTGCTAGACTATTGTAAACACAAAAATCGCGCAAACACAAATGCGCACACGCGCGTAACAGCGAGATGCGAGCGCGCTAGCCTCCAAACGACTGCCCGCGAAGCCTCGCTCAGTCGTCAGGTGACACGCAAAAACCTCTCAATGATCTTACAAAAACCTATCGGTCACGACTGTTTCAGTTTAATCAGGTGCAAATATGTTACAATAAATGTTATTATCCCACAATAGTTTGTTAGTGAATCATTTTAAAACATTACTAATTTCTAGTTTTTACCTAAATGGATGGATGTTGATGGATGTTGTGGCTCGACAAATTCTTAATGGGCTCTTAATTTCTCTAACAATACCCCCACCGTATGCGACAAGATATTCGCAATTGTGCCGTGTACTTCGTACGAACACGAATTATCTGCGTAATTCGCCAATTTTTCGGGTGTTAGCTCATGACACTAATTATGAAGATGTTGATATTTTCCACCTTACCAAATAGGATGTGAGGATATATTTGAAGAAGACTGACTTTGTATAGCAGTAACAATTTAGTTTTTCTTTAAAATATTAAGTACTAATTGTCGTTTGTTTAATTTTTAATTTCAGTTTTCTTTTTTTGTCTATTAATGTATTTATGTTTTCTGTTTCATATATTTTGTTTATCAATGTAATCTGTTTTGGCTTTGTATAATCTCGAAGTGTTTTGTTTTATAATTTGGGTATGTGTTAGCTGTAAGATTATTAGTAATGTATAAAATAAATTAACAAGAGCGCACCTGATCGGTCAAAGCATCACAACCAATGATCATTAGCGCGGCATCAAAATCAAAGTAGCCATGATTATCGCGTATAGTTTACTCTACAGCAGCCTTGCGATTCTGTAACTCACTTTTCGAACTCACACAGCGGTTTTTTCATCGGCGGTCGCTCTCAAATCAGTCGTGAAGCAGTCATTCTATGATTTGGCATTCTAATAAGGTGGGAGCTTGTAGTTTATTGTTTGAAAAGTGAGTTACAGAATCGCAAGGCAGAAGTAAAGTTCTAACTAAATGTTAACCAACTGTTAACTCTTGATGAACTACTTTGAGTATGGCTGTGAATGGCAATCCGCAAACCGCAATCCAATTTAGCGATTCACACAAACAATGAATAATGTATAACAAATTAATTGGTGTAAATAGGAATTATGTAATACTAAAATTATCTTTAATTCATAGAGTACAATTACGGTGAACGCCTCTCAAACAGAGCATTGAGCTGTAATTGTTAAGAGAATTGCTTTACTGTCATTGTTATGTTATAATAGCCCCGTAATATTATTCAAGTATACTGAGTAATCTGATTTCATATTACTGATTAGTTATAAAATACTAATGTCTTCTACGTACGCGTTATTATGAGAATAACGTTCGATCTTATTATAAAACTTCCTTGATTGGAATTCGTATAAATGTTTTTGAAATGTTGAAAAATAGGGTTTTACTGTTCTTTTTTTGTTTTTGTTTATTGTTTTTTGAAGTGAAACTTCTTTATCGGGGTTGGAAAAAAATTTAGTGTAACATTTTTGCGTTACGCGTCACATTTTTCCGTTACGCGCCATGTTGGTTTTTGAAGTCAAACTTCTTTATCGGCGTTAAAATATGACATATAGTATGTTTTTGACTTTGAAGTTTGACAACGGATTACATTTTCGAAGTCAAACTTCTTTATCGGCGTTAAAATATGACATATAGTATGTTTTTGACTTTGAAGTTTGACAACGGATTACATTTTCGACTTGAAATTTGCTAATCGCAATTTGCAGCAATTAATTTGTAAATTGTATGCTAGGCAGTGTATCAAAATTTACTGTGTTTACAGAAATAGTTTCGGACCTCTAAACTTAAAACAAACCAATTATGGCTCTGCGTACAACAAAGGTTTTATATAAGTTTCACTTCTTACGTGTGTACACCTAGTACACGCCCCCTTTTTTTTTTTTGACAAACGGGCAGCATGATCACCTAATGCTAAGTAATGATTCATATCCTGGCATTGAGAGGGTCTATATTCTCAATGCCAGAGAGCTTGCGAGTACGTAGCCGAAACGTTAAGAAATGGTACGCTTTTCTTGAAGGACCCTAAGTTGAGCCAATAAATTATACGACGGCCTGAGCCGGATTTGAGCGACTGGACAATTTTAAAATGTTATGGAAATTAGTTTATCAATTTTTCATCAATTAGTTTAGCAGATGTAAAAAAACATCTTTACAATATTGGTTCAAGCTTAGTTATAAAAATTTACGTTTATCTTTACCTATATAATTATGTATCTTATGAAGTCGGTGGCAAATAATGTTTATTTATATAGCAGGTTGCTATATAAATATTTCTCATAAAAAAAACGACATAGAAAACTAAATTGATTACTTATGTAGCATAGTTATTCATTTATGCGAATAAATCGTACAAGTAGGTGGATATATATCTAGGGTAAGCTTGTTTTGAACGGAAATGACACTGCCCTTGCTTTTTTCAATGCGACTGGTCTCAATCAATGAACATTAACAATATATTTTTTATATACTAGTAAGCACCGGCTTCCACCATAATCCAAATGGTTTCTAGCCGTCGAATACATGGAAGAAAAAACTAAACATCGCCTAGAACCTGCGTAACCACACTGGCATAGGCAAGTCAACCGGCGTCGTCAATAACGTCATTTTTTTTTTTTTATTATTTGGACCACAAAATTAGGACAAACACATGATATAAATTGACATACATACAAAAATACAAAAAGCGGTGCCGTCCCTAAAACATGTGGATGTTAACGTAAAATTGTAAACACCGTTAGATTGTAAATAGATTACAATTTATTATATATTAATATTTTCTTTCATTTCATTTCATATACATTCATCAAAACAATCAATTTACATTCGACAACAAACGAATTAACAAACAAATATGGTGGCGCGGGGCATATTCTGTTCAACCAATCAGCGCGCGAGGTGCGTACCGTTTCACAATTTGACGGTTTCACTTCGATAGATTACAATCTACCGAATAATAATACGTTAAATTGTAAGCAGTTCGTTGAGGTTCACAATCTTTCGAAAGTTTACAATCTTGCGAGATAGATTACAATCTAACGATGTTTACAATTTTACGGTGACATGGACACGACCAGCGAATCGTCAACGTATTACGTTACTACAGAGCTATGACGATCTAAGTTCATACACAAGAACTCGACCACGACGGGCCGACCACTCCAATTAGAAAATCCTCCCTTTAGGCTGAAGGTATTCCTTCTACTCTCCTCAAATTGGTATTTATTAGGGATGCATCCGATACCGATATATCGGCAAACCCAAAGTATCGGCATCGGTGATATTTTAATTGCCGATACGATACATTTCGCGATTTTAAAAATGCAAACGAGACACGGACTATCTATGCCCGGGGAATCCCCGCGTTTTGTTCAGTTTTTTGTCTCTCTCACCCGATTTGTCCCCGAGTATTAAATTTCACTAGACACTTAAGTTGGCTTTTAACTGCTAATGCGGCTAGGGTTTTTTTAACACTAAATAAAATAAAATAAAGAATTACAAAAATCTTATCAATGTTAATTTATTTTAATACATTAATTACTCTTAATTTTAATAATAAAACATCTTTAATCTTATTCAAAGTTAGTGACTGTTTATATTTTTTAATAAAAATTAGAAGCTTTAACCAAACTTAATATATTTTACTTTAATTTAATTTTAATTCAATAAGCATTGGTATCGGTATCGACGATATTTCTATAAGAGTATCGGCTTCGGTATCGTATCAGCAAAAAGGCGTATCGATGCATCCCTAGTATTTATATTTTAACTGGTAAAATAATTTTCACTGCCGGTTAAGTTGTAGGTACTTAATAAACTTACACCACGTTCTTGGTGTCATTCGTTTCACCAGTAAACATTTACCTAATTTCACTATTGGTTCAATCGTTCAAACTTCCTGAAATTCTCGATAGTTTATCGGATATTCTTTGAATCTTTCTTAAGACGTTTATGTAATTATTGAGCCACCTTTATCTTATGACGACTCAGTCCAATTGTTTAGAAAGGAGACTTAGCGCGAACTATATCTCCAGAATGTCAATATCCAATACATTTTTGACCCGTAATTCAAATTAAACCTCGTTAATTAAGACTCGTTTCTGAATATCACCCCAAGTGAGATGCATTTAAACGTTATTTAGGCCTTGTTGAGCATCTCTTATAACTCTTATGATTTCACATCTCGCTTCCAATTTATTATAATCTGGAATTTTTTTGAACTCATTTAAAAGGGATAACAAAAACAACTTGTCATCGTCATTTTCCATTTCTTTTTTTATACTCCAAGTTTTTCTTCAATACTGATACCAATTGTTGTCCAATAACGTCTTCATTATTGCTTTTCTTCCTTCTTTTCTGATTAGCTACATTCCGTGATGTTTTATATGGGCCATCATGATTTTGCGAAAGATCGTTGTCTGACTCTGTCTCATATTTTACCATAGTAGAGTCTTTTAAGAATAATAAAATATTATAATAGGTATATGGGCTTTTCTGTTTGGCACCTGAACCGCTTTTCATGTTTTTTAAATTTTTCGAAGCTTTTACAAAATTATCTTTAATATTCCGCCATTTTTTCATAAGTACTTTACCTGTAACAATAACCAATAATAAATAATTATGTTTTTAGATATTTGGCGACCGGATGCACATTCGCTGAACTACATTACACATTTCGAATTGGTGCAAGTACAATAGCTGAATTTGTTCGTGAAGTATGTTTGGCAATATGGTTGCTGTTAAAAAGAATCTTGTTTATCGAAGCCTTCTCAACAAGGATGGCTAGATATTGCAAAGGGTTTCTCAACAAGAGCTAATTTTCCGAATTGCATTGGGGCTACAGACCACAAGCCCATGAACAAAAAAATACCTGTGAAATGAACCAACGTGAATAACGCTTAGATGGCTGTTACTATATCAGAAAATAACTCTGAGCACTATGCCGTCATTTCTGAGCGGTACATGTGATACGATACATTACGGTACGGGTACGTGAGTGAATGGAATTTCTCAGGTACAAATGAGGAATTTCGACTAATTATTAATGTACGACTTTGTTATAGTGTATAGATGATTTAAAATAAATGTCGAAAAACTTAGTGCCGTACTAAAGTGATGGTACCGGAAGTCGGTGCAAATTTTTAATTCGACGATAGTTGCAGAAGCAATATAGGTCATTTATTACTGTACGGCATTTGTGTAATTTCTTTTGGACACATATATATAGATACTTTACCCGTAAACGCCGTACATATTTCCAGCGGAGCGGTCGAAAGCCAAGGGTCGCAACCCTACCCCTACCCCCCTATACCCTAAGGTCATTGTAAGACCTGCAACGCGGCACACCGCAATCCGCGGGGCGCCCCCTCCGGCGGGCCGCACATCGATTTTATATGAACCGCGCGAAACGCACTGACTTGCGGTCAACCGTCAACCACTCCGGTGACCGGGGGAGGCGTCCTACCTACGTCATCACAAAATAAACAAATGAAAAAAAAAAAAAAAAAAAAAAATTTTTTAAAAAAGAAAAAAAAAAAAAATAAAATATGTTTATTATGGAACATAAGATAATGTATCATCTCAACATATCTCTGATTAGATAATTGGTTTTGTAATATTTCAGAGATGGGTGAGGGGGGGGGGGGGGGGGGAAAAAAGAAAAAGGGGGGGGGGGGGGGGGGGGGGGGGGGGGGGGGGGGGGGGCCCCCCGCCCCCCGCCCCCCGCCCCCGGGGGGGGGGGGGGGGGGGGGGGGGGGGGGGGGGGAAAAAAAAAAAAAAAAAAAAAAAAAAAAAAAAAAAAAAAAAAGGCCCCAAAAAAAAAAAAAAAAAAATGGGGAGGAAAAAAAAAAAAAAAAAAAAAGGAAGAACCAGGGAATAACGGCGGGAGGAGAGGGGAGGAAAAAGGGCGGCTTTTTTTACAAAATGTTAAAAAAATACGTGTCCTTATAGTGGTGATGATAATATAGTAACAACATAAAATTAAATGATCTTTCCGAAATACTTGATTTATCACAAATTCCTAGAGTAACATTTTCCAGTATGCATACAAGATTTTGTTATTTTTTATGTAACAAATAAAAAAACAAAAAGGAACTACAACACGTTTTGGGGGTCCCTTAAGGTCATTAATAACCTATATCTGAGTATATACCATAAGGCTGTAAAGTATATTTTATCCAGCAGAGAGAGGTAAAGGAAAAATATTTTAACAAAAATAAAAAAATCCCCTCCGCCCCCCCCCCCCCCTTTTTGGGGGGGGGGGGTATAATCTGCCATTTCACAGACTAGCGGACTATCAAAAGAGTCATTTTCTGGTGACTTTTATCTGTAGGCTAAGTATATACAGGTTATTGAATCAAATCTTCAATCTTCAAGAAAGTATACCCCATACGATAGGTGTTTGTGTTCCAAGTACGCCGCTCGATACTTGTTTTTTTAAAAAAAAACCCCCAAAAAAAAAAAAAAAAAAGGGGGGGGGCCCCGGGTTTTTCCACCCCCCCGGGGAAAAAAAAAGCGTTTTTTGGGGAAAAAAATTGTATATGTATCCAAAAGGAATTACACAAATGCCATACAGTAATAAATGACCTATATTGCTTCTGCAACTATCGTCGAATTAAAAATTTGCACCGACCTTCGGCATCACTTTAGTATGGCACTAGGTTTTTTGACATTTATTTTTAATCATCTATACACTTATAACAAAGCCGTACATTAATAATTAGTCGAAATTCTTCATTTGTACCTGAGAAATTCCATTCACTCACGTACTCACATCATGTACCGCTCAGAAATGACGGCATAGTGCTCAGAGTTATTTCTGATATAGTAACAGCCTTCTAAGCGTTATTCACGTTGGTTCATTTCACAGGTATTTTTTGTTCATGGGCTTGTGCTCTACTATAAATGGGAAACACATACGGGTAATAAAACCGAGTCATAGTGGATCCATGTACTACAATTATAAGCAGTTTTTTTTTCATTATACTGATGGCTATATGCGACAGCAATTACAAATTCATAACAATAGATGTCGGCGCTTGTGGCAAATTTGGAGAGTCACTTTATCAACACTAACTTTTACAAAAAAATGATAGCAGGAGAACTTGAGATACCGACACCCATATCATAAGTAAATACTATTCCAATACCATACGTTATAGTAGGCGATGAAGCCTTTCCCTTATCCACGAACTTAATGCGACCTTAACCCAAAAATACTAATTTAAATACTACTAAGAGAATATTTAATTATCGGCAATGTAGAGCACGGCGATATATCGAATGCTCGTTTGGAATACTGAGCAATAAGTGGAGTATATTCCATAGACCTTTAAATGTGGATATTAGCTTGGCTACTGATATCATCAAAGCATGTTGCATTTTGCAGAACTACGTTCGAGATAGAGACGGTTATAACTATGAAGATACTTTAACATGTTACATGCCACCTGATGTACCAGAAACTCAGAGAACATATTTTAATCGAATAGGTAATAATACCGCTGAAAGAATTCGTGACTCTCAGTATTTTGAACACGAAGGAAAACTGGAATGGCAAGATAAATAATGTATAATGTGCATTGATCCGCAAAATCGCAGGAAATTAGGAATAAAAAGTATGATGATTGTAACCTTGTAACCATGATAAATAAATAACGTAACTTACCGAGTTCTTTCTTTTCTTCTGGTGTATCATCTTCCTTTGCATATATATTAATCATTTCCTCCCAACATTTTAATCTTTTATTTCTGTCTGGATGATCAGCGCATTTGCTATCCCATATTGCGGGGCGGTCTTTGATTTCTAAAATGAACTTTTCTGTATCAAAATCCATGACGCGCACTCTGAGTAGTGTCTAGCGCACTGCGCAAAGAACAAGCGATGACTGAGGCGGGTAGGACGCGGTATTTGCGGCAGGGCTGCCAGGTGAAAAAAACGCATGATCGTTCACCAACTATAAAAAAATCGTACACCAAGGAAATTTTGAAACGAAAAGATCGTACAACAAAAAAGTGGAAAGTTTTTTTTTAAAATAAGTAGCTGCCTTTGCCTTGAAGAGTGTTACTTTAAAACTCCATATTCTGAAACCATTTCGACGTCACACACAGTCCACCTGGCTTTAAATTGGTTTTTACCGGGCCCTAACCGGTCCGTAAATAAATCAAATTTTTCCCGATCGGGACGATACTTCTGTGCTCTGTGTTTGTTCCTCTATGACCTGTGTTGTAGAAAGCTCTCCTCTTTTGGCTAATTTCTTTTTTGGAGT